GAGTGAACAGATTAGTGGGTAGATGGATTAGTGGATGGATGGATGGATAGATGATGGATGTGTGGAAGGATTGATGGGTAGAAGGGTGGATGAGTGAATGGATGGGTGTATTGATGACGGATGGGTGGATGGGTGGATGGATTGATGGGTTGGATGGATTGATGGGTGGATGGATGGATGGATGACGGATGGGTGGATGGAAGGATGGATTGGTGGGTGGATGGGTGGATGGATGGATGGATGAATGGATTGATGGGTGGATGATGGATGGGTTGCTGGATGGATGAGCAGGGGCTTGGATGTCTGTCCACCAGAACTTCTGTGGAAGACCATAGTTGCAATAGCAGTGACCTAGAAAGGTTGCCCTCATAGCCCTCTTGTTGGGTGAGAGAAGGCATGGTGATGTCGATGGCATGTTTCCTGCTGCCTCATAGTCCCCTGTCACCTGTTGCATCTCATGTTCCAGCTGGAGGAGACTCTCATCCCTCTCACGCTTCAGGCTCTGAATCTCATCCTTCAGAGCCTCCCTCTTGGCTGCATTCTTTGCCACCAGCTTCTTCTCCTGTTCCAACCGGCGAGCTGCCACTTCCTTCTCCTCTGTCAGAGACAGACTCAAGTTCTCCTGGGCCAACACAAAGGGACAGGCTGTGATGGCTGCGTAGGTCAGGACATGTGAGACCAGCAGGTCCTAAGTGAGACCTGGTTCATGGGACAGACGGCAGGGCAGGACAGGTCCCCAGAGGTTGGCCACTCCAGCTATATCACACTTGTCTCACATCATGACACCAAAGCAGGACCCGAGTCTCTCCAACTGCCCTCCTACATTTATGTAGTGGTTCATAACCCCCTCCAGAGCCTCCACATTCATGAGATGTATAATATGTCAAGCATGACCTGCAGGGAAACCTCCCTCCATCTACTGGCCCTCAGACTGCAGCCAGGTCAGCTTGCACGAGGTCTGGGCTCTTTGGCACACAGGCCCCAGGCTCTGGGTGGCTCAGGCTCACTTGAACTTGGAAGAGTCCTCCTCTGGCCCTAGCCACGGCATGGCTGGGGCACCTCTGTCTCCTGGCTGGTCTCCTAGGCTCCCACCCCCAGCTGTCTGCTGCATTTTAGGACATGGTAGACCCCAGGGAAGTGACCAGGCAGCTGGGTGGCCCAACAGAAGCAGACCTTCTCCCTCTGGAGCCGAGCCAGGTCCTCATGGTGGGCCAGCGCCTGACTCTCTAGCGCCAGCTGCCCCTCCCGCTCCTGCTGCGCCACTTGCCGCTGAAGCTTCTCCATGTCCCACTGTAGCTTTGTCTCCTGGACCTCCCAGGAACTTTTCAGCTGCTGCATTTCCACTGTGAAGTGACAGGTGCATCAGGGGCTGGCTATGAGGCCCCCACAGCATGGAACCCCCGTGGCCCTTACGAACCCCCTGTGGAGTGCCAGCCCCATGGAGGGACAGCCACCTGCTCTGAGGAGGCTGCCAGAGCCGGGAGACAAAGCACTTCCTGCCTCACTGTGTGCGTCCTAAGTTCTCACCTTGTACTTGCTATGGCCAGGCCACTCCATGCAGGGCGGGCTGACCAGGGAGCATAGGGGAGGGGCAGGGAGCCAGCTTGCTGATCTTGTGGCCACAGCCCAGTTTGGTGTCTGGGCCCATCCCTGGAAGCAGGTGGGGTGGGTGCCCATCCCTCCCAGACAAGAGTGGCAGGAGCTGTCCAGCCCTGTGAGCTCCAGGCCTGTGTCTGCCTCCCTTCGAGGCACTGGGGAGTGGAAGCAGCACATCTGGAGACTGAGATCCTCTGACGGGGGAGAAGATCAGAGAGAGCCCCCACGGGGAGCACCTTGCAGGGCCTGCTGAGCGAGCCGCATGCTCTGGGCCTCTCCTTCCAGCTGTTCCCTCTGTGCCTGTAGCTGCCTGGACAGCTGCTGGGTCTCAAAGAGGCTGTTCTCCAGAGAGTCCCTCTCAGCCCTGCAGAAAGTCGTCAGACAATGGAGCCTGTCACCCAGGCAGTCCTGCCGATGAGTGATGGCGGAGAGCTCATTTCCGAGACAGTGGGACAGTGCCCGCCAGGCCAGTTTCACAAATCACAAGAAAAACAGAATAAACATCTCATTCATTTTAAATCTCTAGAACCAAAGTAGGCCCTGCACAAAATAATCTTTCGGATGGATTAAAAAGCTAAGTGAAACAAAACAAAACAAGCAGCAAATAAACAACTCAGAACAATAAAAATAGTAGAGGGGCATTGGTGGCTCAGTCGGTTAACCATCCAACTCTTGATTTCAGCTCAGGCCATGAGCTCAGGATGGTGAGATCAAGCCCCAGGGGTCTCAGCCTCCTGGAGCAGAGGCCCAGCAAGACCAGTCAGGGTGCAGGCAGGGGCCAGGCAGAGACCCCACCAATCTCTCTGGCCAGTGAGTGGCCCAGCACCCTGCGAACTGAGAATGTGTCTGTGGGGCTGCCGCCTCATCAGGGCCCTGCTGTGGGGGCTGTAGGACCTGGAACCCTGGGGTCCTCCATCACTGTCATGCAGCCCACTGCAGGAGAATCAAGCTACAGCAGGACTCCGCACCCCTGCTGGTTGTCGGCATCACCTGGAGCTGGTTAAGGCTGCCGTGGTCACACCCTCCAGCCCACAGAGCCTGCCCAATAAACACACCCTGTGCCTGCTGGGGGTCATGTGTGCCAGGCACAGGTGGCTTGATGAGTCCCCAGCAGCCTTGTCAGCAGAAGCTCAGACTGCTCACCGTGAAGTGCTGTTTAATGAGCAGCGGGCACTGTCTGGGGGCCACTGGGTTGGCAGGTGCAGGGACCTTGGGCCCAGTGGTCAGGACTGGGCTTGGAGTGGGGATCCTGGGCTCCTGAGGCCTCTGCCCAGCCTCTGCCAGTGATCTGGGCAGCAGATGTTGGCAGGTGATGGGCCTCTAACCCCTGCTCTTCTGAGTACCCGTGGGGCCTGGGAGGGGGCAGCAGGCAGGGATCTCCACTCCTGCTGACCCAGAGTAGCCTTTGTTAAGTTTTCTGTTCCAATTTCTCTCAGCTTTCATTTGCAAAAGAGGTTTGTCTGTGAAGATGTTTAAGGACCTGGGACTCGAAGGGTTCTTGTGATTCCCCAGATTCTGGAATTCCAAGAGGAAACCTTTCTACAAAAATACTTAGATGTTCTCAAGAGAGCCTGCAAGTTTGGGGCCAGAAAGCCACCAGTTTTTGGATTTCCAGAGACCTTGGAACTAGCTCCGCCCATGGGGCAATAGCCAACAGGCACCTTGTTCTCACCTCCAAGTGCCTATTTCAATCCTTCTGCAAGTGACTCCTGATGGTCTTTGAAGCTCATCTTGGCATCAACCTCATGGTTCCCTGGGGCTGACACTGCCCCTGGCTTCAGGGGTGGGCATGTGACTCCATCCTGCCAACCTGAGCCTTGCAACTCCCGGGATTGGTTTAGAACATCTAATGCTTCATGATGGCCAATGGCACAGATTTTGGACTTGTGGGGAGAAGGTCACTATGTCTGCTGGAGGAGGGAGTCTGGAGTGGCCATTGACAATTTACCACCTTTTACCCTGAGCCTGCCTGAGAGCAAAATTCCCTGAGTTAAGTAGCACTAAGAAGGGAGAGACAGGATCCTGATAGCACTGTGGAAGCACTTGGATCCAGCCTTGCCTGAAGCCATGTGTACCCTGAACTTCTTAGACCCATGAGCAAGACATCCCATGCTTCCCTTCTGCCGGTCTGAACTGGGTTTCTGGTTACTTGGAATCTGGCCAGTAGAGCCACTTTGCTCAGGAGGGCTATCCCAGGGTTCTCACTAGATTCACTTCTAGATGCTCCTCCTATCCAGGCACTGTGCTTGCCTCTCGCTCACAACCTCTCTCCCACATAGACAGACTTGCTCTGATCTACAGTCTTGGAGAGGTGCCTGCCCGCTGCCACACTGGAGGCCCTTCAAGGATGAGGCTGTGTGGACACCAGTTGTTGGAAGGACCCCGGGTACCTGAGGTCAGCTGCCTCCTCAGCTGTGAGCTGGACCTGCCTCTCCAAGGCCTCCTGTTTGGCCAGCAGCTGGGTCAGCTCATCAGACAAAGCCTCCTTCTCTTGCAGGGCCCTCTGCAGAGAGTCCATCTGGGCCTCCTGGTCCTGCAGGCTCTGGGCCAGCTGCTCTTCCAGGGCCTGTTTCTTGCACGTGACCTAGGGGAGAGGGCAGGGACAGTCTGGCAGAAAGTGGGAGGGTGAGGGAAGGATGAGAAAAGAAGCAATTTTGTGCAGAATGGTGCAGAGGAAGAGAGGGGGAGGAGAGGGGGAGGAGAGTGGACAGGAGAGTGGACAGAAGACAGGCTGGACCTCAGAAGGGAACGTGTGTGTTTTCACAGCAGAGGGGCCTCCTCTCCTGAAGCAAAGGCAGAGAAGTCCCTGATCTGAGCATTCCTAGGGAAGAGCCTGCCCCTGATCTAAACGGTAGCCTTGGTTGGCCCACAAGTGTCCAGGAAGCAGAAAACATGACACAACAATGACAGGAGAAGGTGGCAGAGGACCAGGTTGCTGTAGACAAACACTTCCATCAAGAACATCACAAGACTCTAGACAGGATTGGACACAGGGATCTGTGCAAGGCCTCAGAGAGCTACCAGGGCAGTGGGGACTGAAGGAACTGAGACCTAGAGGGAGGGACACAGAGGACTGAAGCCACCACTTGGCATCTCTTCTCTCCACAGAATTTGTTCGTCTAGAAGTTTTGGCCTCCATTTCTCAGTTTCTAAAACAGAATTTCTGATGGGACTATGGCCTCAGGGGAACAAAAACTCAAGTTCAGAACCATCATAGCAGAGGGGCCATAACAAACAGCCCAACTTTCAGTTGCACTCACACAGGGCCTCACCCTGGTAGTGGAATGGAATCAGAACTAGATCATCCCTCATACAAGCTGAAGCCCAGGTCTGAGTCACTAACACCAGGCACTGTGGTGATCATTTACATTACTGCCCACCAGAACCAGAAGTAAGTCTTCCTGGAAGAATAGAGTCATCAAGATCGTCAAGTTGTTTCTACAATTTTTGACCCATGATATTTGGCATTTAATCAACATTACCAGGCATATCAGGAGATAGGATTATATAGCAAAAAACAAAGCAAAACAAAACAAAAAAACACATGTAAGAACATAAAATAAATACCGATGTCTTCCTGGTCTCTTGGGTACTCAGATATTGGAGTTGTCAGATACAGAGTTTAAAGTAGCTGTGATTCAAAGTTTGAGAAGATGGATGGCAAGATGTGGAATTTCACAACAGAACTAGAAACTAGAAACAATCTAATTTTAAAATATAGTGACTGAAATTAATAAACATATGGATTCAATGCCAGCTTAGACAGAAAAGAGGACTACTCTTCTGGAAGATAGACAAAAGAATGTATTCAGACTGAATCATGAAGAGAGAAATGGATGAAAAACACAGGAAAGAGTGTGACAGACACATGGGACAAGGCAAGAAGGTCCAACATGTGTACAATTGAAGTTGCAGTAGGAGAGGAGAGGGAGAATTTGAACAGGTACTACACAAGAATATCCCAAATCCAGTAAAATCCTTCAAGCCACAGATTTAAAATGAAACATAATCCTCCAATAGGATAAATACAAAGAATTTATCACAGACACAGAGCATAGTAAAGTTTCCGAATACCAGAGATAAGAAAGACACCTTTTAAAACCAGAGGGGAAGGGGTGCCTGGGTGGCTTAGTGGGTTAAAGCCTCTGCCTTTGGCTCGGGTCATGATCCCAGGGTCCTGGGATCAAGCCCCGCATTGGGCTCTCTGCTCAGGAGGGAACCTGCCTCCCCCCTCCGCCTGCCTCTCTGCCTCCTTGTGATCTCTGTTGGTCAAATAAATAAATAAAATCTTAAAAAAAACCCCAAAAACCAAAACCAAAAACAAAACCAGAGGGGAAAACACACATTACCTTAAAATGAGCAACAAGAAGACTGACATCTGATTTCCAAGCAGCAACAAGAAAAGTCAGAAGACAGTGGGATGAATTCATCAAAATGCTAATGGCAATAATGGCTATCCTGGTATTATTCTATAACCTATTAAAAAATCCTTCAAACATTGAGACTAGAACTTTCTGCTTCTGATAATGGTGAAGGAGGTCGTTGAAGACCAGCCCTCCCATCTGGGGCAGCTGGAAAATTTTGCAGTGCACCTGCAACATAAGAAACTCTATGAGGGCCCGAGAGCTGCCAAAGCAGTCAAGATCCAAGCAGGTGTGCATCCAGCTGAGCCCAACACTGTACCACAGATCTCCCTTGTGTACTGGCCAGCTCCTAAGTAGCTCAAGGCTCCTTTGCAGCCTTGAATAAGGCCTTACCTAAAGGCTGGGGACTTGACTTATGGTTTCAGCAGGCTTAGGAGACTAGGGAGACATAACCTTGAGTTCAAAGCTACTGAAACAGTTGGGGAGGTAAAGATATCAGAGAGGAGGGGAGACTCAGATTCTGTATTGTTTTTAAAAATGGTATTCTTTTTCTCTAAAAATAAAATAACTCCAAACAAGTATGGGGCCAACAGACTATGAATCTGAATGAGAAGTGGGAGCCAAGGATCTGAAAAGTCACACAGAACTTTGGGCAGTCTTAACAGAATTGGGAAAACAAAACCTGGAGGTAGGGCTCACCAGAAGGTAGAAGCTTTGGTCAGTACCCAGCATGTCCACTGAGGGGCCTGGGAGAATTGTGTTGTACCCACGTGCACACCAGAAACAGGAAACTGTTGCTCTTCACAGAGGCCATGATTGTGAACACGGAAACCTTAGAGCTCACCAGTGAACTCGGTAAGGTCACGTGACTCAAATTTCATAGGTAAGGTCACGTGACTCAAATTTCATGTACTTCTCTACACTAGTAATGAATAGTAGGAAAATAAAATTAAAACAGCAAAGCAATTCACAATATCAACTTTAAGAATCAATTTAATCAAATGTGGGCAAGACATTTACACCAAGCACAAAACACAGCTGAGAGAATTAAGAGAGATACCACACCTTTACGGAGGGACACCATGATGTCATGAAGGTGTCCAGGCTTCTGAAATTGACCTGTAAAGTCAGTACAATCTTAATCGAGGTTCTAGCAAGCTTTACGGGGGTGGGGGGAGCAGGGAATGACAGAAATTTGCAAGCTGATTCTGAAATGTACATGGATATGTAAAAAATTTAGAACAGTCAAAAACCATTTTGAAAAAGAAGAGTAAAGGTGCGCCTGGGGGGCTCAGTTGGTTAAGCATCGGCTTTTAGCTCAGGTCATGATCCCAGGTTCCTGGGATCAGGTCCTGCTTCAGGCTCCCTGCTCAGCGGGGGGTCTGCTTCTCCCTCTCCCTCTGCCTGTCGCCCCAACTGTGCTTTCTCTTGCTATCTCTCTCTCTCTCTCAAATAAGTAAGTAAAATCTTAAAAAGAAAAAGAAGAATAAGATTGGAGGACCCATGCTACTCAATTTCAAGCTTTATTGAGAAGTACGGTAACCAAGACCGTGTGGTCTGGGGGAAGGAATGAGGAGATTGCATAGGTCAACAATCTGATCTGTGCCCCTATGTGCAGACATATGTTCAATATACTTTCAACAAGTCATTAAGGTAATTCAGGGGAGAAAGGACAGTCTTTAAAAATTTGTATGTTTGTATGGATATTTGTATGAAAAATACAGCTGGATATTTGTATGAAAAATAACAGACTGCAGGTCTTACTTTACATGATGCTCCAGGGTTTCACACATTTTGGGGGCATCAGAATCACCGGGAAGTCTCCTTACAATCCAGATTTCTGCCGCCCACCCTGTAGTTTCTGGCTCAGTCGGTTTTGAGCAGGGCATTTTGAGAATCTGCATTTCTACCTTGTTCCCAGGTGTTGCTGCTGCTGCTGCCCTAGGGAGAACACTTTGAGAACCACTGCCATACTCACAGACCCCTATGTTAGAGTTGGGTGAAGACACAGGCGAGCATTTGGTTGTCCTTGGGCTACATAAAAGTGTCTGAGACAGTACCTAGGAAATCCTAACCACACATTTTTTAAAAACTTGGCAAATTGGATTTTACCGAAGTTAAAAACAACAGTAAGAAAATGTCTAGGCAAGTCACAAAGGTGAGTGAACTATTCCAGTTACATCTGTCTGACAAGGCACTCGCGTTCAAGATACATCAAAAGTTCTTATATGTCCATAACCAAACACCCAGTAAGAACGGGCACAAAAGTTGAACAGACACTTGACAAAATACGGTATGCAACTTTCCAGCGAGCATAAGAACAAGTACTCAGATCATCTGTTATCTAGGACATGTCAGTTCAAACCACCATGGTATATAACTTCACACACACACACACACACACACACACACACAGAAGAGCTGAAAAGCAGAAATGGGTGATGCCAAGTGTGGACGAGGCCGCGAAGCCACTGAAAGCCCGCCCTGCCCCCCACTGGTCCATTGCTGGCAGTGGAGAAAGCAATGCAACCAGTTCAGAAAATCACTGGCCCGTTTCTTATTCGGTTTGACACCCACCTGCCCAACGGCCACATTCCCCTCCCTATACATGTTTGCAACTCATACACCTATGTCCATGGCCGCCTTGTGCATCAAAACCCAGACTGCGAAGAACCCAAATGCCCAGCAGCAAGGAAATGGGAAAATGAATGTGGTTTATTTCTATGTGAAGTGTTACCAGGCAGTCAAAACCCCGAGTTCTCATTACGACTAAGTGCGATGGCGCCCCCTGACATCGTGCTGAGACGGGGCCCCAGCTCTGCGGCTCCCTTTACCAGAAGCTCTCGGACAGTGCATGGGTGGGGTGCGTGGCACAGAGACTGCCTGGGGCGGGGTGGACCTGAGGCCCTGGGGAGACCGTCCTTGTCTCCTTGGTGCCGGCCATGCTGTGCACGCAGTGGTCACAACTCGTGGACCTGTGCGGTGGCTCTTGAGTGCAAATCACACTCCAGTGACAGGAGGAGGGAAGAGATGGGCTGGAAAGGATGGGACAGAGCCTGAGGGACAGAAGGACTCAGAGCTGAGTCTCAGAGCACCCAAGACAGCTGGTGGTCCTGGGTGCCCGAGACTATGGGCGCAGCGTTCCACATGGGGCAACAGGCTGGGATTGGAGGAAAGCAAAGTGCTCCAGGGTCACTCCCCACAGAGCCTGCCTTCCTCCAAAGGCCGAGGTCCGGGGAGAGTGGGGGAATGAATGCATGAGCAAAGACGCAGACAGAACAGGGAGCACAGAGAGGTCCAGGGAGGAGAGAAACAGGATAGAGGAGGAAGCAGTGACACTCCTGACCCCCAAGTGTGTGGAAGTCATGAGCCAGAGCCTTTCGGTACTCTGAGGGGGGTCCTAGGACAGGCCCTGGACATGGGGGACAGGCTCCACGTACTGATTCTCTGCATATCCCACCCCCATCTCCGCCCCACCAACCCCCGACCCCCGCACCGGGAAGCCGGTGTCAGAGCGGGCTTTGAATCTGGCCACAGCGGTTAGCGGTTAGCTTTGGTGGCGGAAGGCACTGCAGCAGCCATCCTGAGCCAGGGTGACTTCAAAAGGTGACCTGTTGCCTTCCATGCCCCAGAGAGCCGGGCGGGGCAGCCCTGCTGGGTGGGAGCAGGGCCCAGGAGCACGGCGGACACCTCACCTGGTCCACCTGCTCCTGCAGCTGGGCCTTCTGCAGCTGGAAGCGGGCAGCCTGCCCCAGCTGCTGCTCTAGCTGCTGCTCCAGCTGCTGCTCCAGGCGCCCACAGGCCCGCTGCAGGCCCCCGCACTCCGTCTGCACCAGCTCCAGCTGCTGCTCTGCCCGTACCAGCCGCTCCCGCGCTCCGGCCTGCTCCCGCTCCAGTGCCTTCTGCTGCTCCCGCAGCTGGTCCCGTTCCTGCTCCAGCTGCCATGGTGGCGGGGGGCGGGGGGGTGGTGGTGGGGGTTGCAGGCAGGGAGGCAGATGTGTTCCATATGCCGGCACCCTCTGTCCCGTGGCCTGAGCACCCCGCCTGGCCTGTACGGGACCTGGCAGTCTCCTGTACCCCAGTATGCCTCCTCTCCGGACCCCTGCTCTCTTGGCAGGAATGGAGAAGGGGAGGAGGGTGGTGGCGGGGGGTGGGGGGCTTGCTTCTCACCTGCAGGACCAGGTGGCTCAGGTTGCCTTTGTCGTGAGCCAGCGCCTCTGTCAGGGCCGCCATCCTGGCCAGAGAGTCCCTTTGCTCTGCTCCCTCTGACTTCAGCCGGGTCACAAGCAGTTCCAGGTCAGTGCTGCTGGACTCAGCCTATAGGGGGACAGCGCTGTCACTCTGATGAGACTTCAGATCTGCAAGCAGACCTACCCAGGGGGAGCTGTGGTGCCAGGAAGGGAGGGAGCTCTGGGCAGGACAGGGTGGTGAGGCCTCTGAGGTGGGCACTGGCCCCCTGGGTCCTCAGGCTGCAGCCAGATGTGGTGGGGTAGCCCCACGAGATGCACGGAGAAGCAGGTATGGCCAATGGCCAGGCAGGACAGGCCTGCGCCCACCAGCTGGGGACCCAGGAAGCTGTTGGTGGCTTTGGGAAATTTGGTGATGGACTGAGGGTCCTGGAGGGTGAGGAGACAAGTGAGTGGGAGGGGGCAGGCCAGCGTAGACAGTGGGGGAGAACAGGCAGGGCGGGTACCTGGGCCAGGGCTTTGCGCAGGCCCTCCCTCTCGCTCTCCAGAACATCCCTCTGTAGCCGGGCTGAGTTCAGTGCCTCCTGGGCTGAAACCAGCTCCTTCCTAAGCCCCGAGACCTTCTCCTCCAGCTGCTCCAGGCGCCCTTGACTGCAGTCCAGAAACCAGAGGACAGAGACTGTGAGGTCACCTCAGGGCAAGGTAGGGGCCACAATGGGCAGGATGATGGCCTACAGATCCCTCCAAGCCCAGGGAGCCCCAGAGGAGTATGCACAGCTTTGTAGGGCCCAGAAACTCATTAGTCCTGTTTCAGGCCTGGGTGGGTGGTCTTGGTCCATACCTTGACAGCTCTGGGTGAGGAGAGTGTGTGTGTGTGTGTTTGTGTGTGTGCGCTCACAGCGCACTCTGGCCCTGGGGGTGGGGAGTAGACCCTGCTGGGAGGTTGCAGCAGGGGTGAGGGGGTGTGGGTGATGCCCAGCCTGGGGGAATCTGGAGAACCCTTTGCCGCTGCTGTCCGATCAGGTGCCCCCACTCCCAGCCTGGTGAGGACATGGCCCTCTTTGTGGCTGGGGACACAGAGGCTGAGAGGCGTGGCAGCCACTCTGCCTGGCACACCTGGTCTCTAGCTCCCTGCGGCCCCGCTCGGCCTGCTGCGTCAGCTCTTCCTTCCGCTCTGCCCACAGCAAGAGGCCCCTCTGCAGCTCCTCGGTCTGGGCCTCCAGCCTCTGCTTCTCTGCATCTGAAATGGCCGCCTTCCCCCTCATCTCGTCCACCGCAGTCTCCAGAGCCCTTTTCTCTCTGGTGGCAGGGGAGGCGGAGGGTTGGGGCAGCCCCAGGACTGGATCTGGGGAAGGGGAGCTGAGGGACATCCCGTAGGTAGAGTCAAACATAAGGGGAGTCCCAGGAGCATGGCAGGGCCAGGTGGACGCCAGGCCAGGGGGTCACTGAGGGCAGCACGCTGGGGAAGCATGGTGGGGGACAGAAGAGACCCAACCAGCTCGGGCTCTGGCAGGCCGGTCCCCTCCTGGAGGTCTTCTCTGAGCCGGAAAGCACTCAAGGGTCCTGCTCCCTGGTGTGTGCCGTGCTCAGCTTTCTGCCACACAAAGGCCAAGTTCAGCTAGTCCTTGCAGAGCTCAGCGGGAAGGAAGGGACCCCTCGTCTGCTGGCACCCTGTCCACCTTGTCCCACAGGAGCCCTGGGCCCTGGAGGTGTAGCAGCCTTGTGCAAAGCTGTGCTCACAGGCTGACCCACCCCTGGGTCCTCTCAGCATGCCACCCCTCAGCCAGGGATCTGGACCTCAGCTGCTCCCCCTCGGGCTCTGGCCCCTGGAGCAGCCCGTCCCGAAGCCTCCCTTTCCCAAGTGCCTGTGGGATCTGGCCCCTCTGCCCCACACGCTCAGGTGCCCACCCACGCAGGACCCCCTGTCCAGCTGCTGCAGCTTGCCCCTAGCAGCCAGACCAGTGCTTCCAAGCCATGTGTGTAGGAGGCAGTGACCCCTGCTAATAGCTGCCCGGCCCCTACTGCCCTCTGCTCCATGGGGAGAGGGTCCTCCAGCCTCACCCTGCTCATCGCAAGGCTCTGTGCTCCCCCACCTCGGCTCCGGTCTGCCCCCGGGAAGGCCTACCCCGTCAGAGGAAGGCTTCGGCCCTCCATGTACCCTCCTCCTCCAAACCCCATGTCAGGCTGAGCTCCTCTGCCCTTGTCTTTCCCTCAGCAAGCTCCCTGTTCCTCCAGCCCAAGCCTGCTGGCCTCCCACGTCCCAGCTCAGGAAGCCTGTGGCTTTGGGAAGTCCCACCTATCCCCTCAATCAGGACTAGGTGTCCGAGGAGATTCTTGTCCTGTGCTTCCCAAAACTCACCAACCCCAGGGCAGTAAGATGCCCACAGAAGCCTCCAGAAAGCCTCATGGCGAACTGTACCACAGGTGGCTAGATCCACAGGGCAACCCAGGAGGGTTCTCAAGCGACCCCAATGCATGTGGAGGGAAGGGAGTTCGGGGGGATTTATGGACCATTTCTGAAGGATGGACAGACCCTTCGGAGGAGTCCTGGGAGTCAGACAGGAGGCGGGAGACGGGAGAGAGTGTGGAAGTGGAGCACAGAGGCAGTCTGAGGGGGGCAGGGCATCCGCTGAGCCCCGGCTCTGGGAAGGTGTGTCCTGGGCAGAGGCAGCCCAGGTGGGCCCAGCTGAGGGCAAGGAGACTCAGAGCAGGTGGGTGGCCGTGGGCCTGAGGGGACAAGGGAGGGGGCCTCGCCAGGAGCAGTTTTGGTCCTGGAGGTGGGGCCCCCTCTCTCCCTCCTGCTGGCAGCACCCGTGGGGTGGCACTGCCTGACCTGACCCACTCAGCCCTCCCGTCACCTTCGCAGGAGCTCGCTGGTTGCCCGGCAGTGCTGTGCCTCCCGGCTCTGCATCTCCAGCTGGCGCAGGAGGTCCTCGCGCTCCCGCCCCTGCTCCTGCGCCCGCTCCTGGAGGAGCCTCCTGGAGGCCTGCAGCTCCTGCTGGCTCTCGGACAGCTGCTCCCGGAGCCTGGCAGCCACCGCCTGCGACAACTCCAGTTGCAGGCGCAGCTCCTGCCCGGGACGGGGGTGCAGCGTGAGCCCCTGCTGACCCTTGACCAGACTCTCCCCAGAAGGATGCCCTCAGGACCAGAGCCAAAACTCCCTGGCCTCAAAGATGCACCGGCTGTGTCCAGACCCTTCCCCGGAGCCACTTCCTTCTCAAAGGCCCCCGGCTCCCTGTGCTGGCACCCAGGCTGCCCTCCGTGTGGCCCCCAGGGATCCAGCTCTGGGAGAGCTACAGCAGGCCTATAATGGCACTTTGGCCCTGGTGGGGATCCGGGCACAGCTTTGCCCCTGTTGGCCGTGGGTGCCCACCTGTTCCAGACGCTGCCGCCTTTCGATGGCTGTCTGCACAGCCTGCAGTGCAGGCTCCGGGGTGTCCAGGGGGTGGGCCCACAGTGGGGACATGCCCCGGTAGGGGGACGCAGAGCGTGCGGGCCACCCCTGCTGGCCCCGTGCCTCCTCGGTGCCCGTCCCGCCGCTCTGTGCCAGCTCCGGGCCCCCGGCATCCGCCTGGGCCACCTTCAGGGTACGGAGAGGAGGGGACAGAGGGAAGGAGCTGAGGGCTAGGGCCACGTGGGGACCCTCCAGATCCCGTGAGTGGTCAGCCCTCAGGACCCCAGCGCCTCAGCTGCTCTCCCACGGGAAGGACCGAGGGCCCGCACCTCTGTGATGCTCTTCAGAACGCGCTGCAGGGACAGAACTTGCTCCTCCAAGGCGTCCAGCTGGGCTCCAGGGCTCCGGGCCTGCCATGGCCGGAGCAGCTGCCTCAGCAGGGCTGGCCCCACACCCCCACCCTGGGCTGGCCCCCCGCGGAGAGCCGCTTTCCCAGCCCTGCGCACCAGCTTCTGAACCTGTGTTCTGAGGGAAGAGAGGGTGGTCTCCTTCTTTGAGTTCTCCTCTGTGAGCTTCTCCACCAGCAGGGTCTGCTCAGAGAGTCTGGAGAAAAGGTGGGGCTGGGGAAAGGGTTGTCGGAGCAGAGAACAAAGCCCAGCACGTGGACACGGGGGCACCCATAGACGTGCAGGCTGTGTCCAGACTCCCCTGCGGTGCAGCCTACACCCCGGCTTTGGGCGAGTTGGCCTTGGTTCCTTTTCTGGGCAGGAACTTCTCATCTGCTCCAGAACCATCAGTGGCCCCTGCCGTCTCTGCAGAATCAGAGTTGAGCATTCCAGGCCCCCACCACTACCATGACTGGCTCTCCAGCATCATAGCCAGTGGCCCCCTGAGGCCATGCCCCTGTCCTTACGGCCTTTGGTCCAGCTGCTTCCTCTGCCGGGAGCACCTCAGCCACGGAAAGTCTAACAAGTTATGTCACTATCCCTTCCTTCCCAGGAGCCACCTCCTTCTCAGAGTTCTCTGGGTCCCCCTTCCCGTGGCCCTGCATCTTTGGTGCAGGTCCTGGGGTGCAGCTGCTGCAGGCTACCATGCTCCTTTGGGGCTGGTCTGGGGTCCTTGGACTCAGCTGGCTCCCTGAGGGCAGGCCTGCAGGTATCTGTGGCCAGGCAGTCCTCGGTTCTGAGGAATTGTGCTTGGATTCAGCAGGTTAGGCCTCCCCTGGGGCATTGCCTCCCCACTGTCTGCTGGAGCTGCTCTCCTGAAATTTCTGAGCTGCCAATGTAGCTCTGTCCAAAACCTCGTGGGCTTGCTCTGAGCCTTGCAGACCCCAGGAGAGGCCCTGGTCTCTTCTGCACCAGGAGTATACCTGGGCCCCTCCATCTCCCTCAGCTTCTTAAATGCTCTGCCTCCAAGCGGGTGCCCACCTCTGCAGGGATGTGTTCTCTGCCAGAGAAGTCCCTTTTGGGAGCCAGCCAGGAGGACACCGTCCAGATGTGCCCCTGCCACATTCCCCGAAACCCTCAAAGTTCGGGCGTTCTAGCTTGGCCTCTGGGGCATGGTTCGGGATGCAGGAGCTCACCTTGGGGACCATCCCTTTGGTGCCAGCAGCGTGTGAGGTGCCCTGATGTGGGAGTACTGGGTGCGGGTCAGGAGGCAAAGCAGCACGGGCTGTGTGCGTGAGCCTTGGACCCGCTGCTGCTCAAGGTGGGGAGGGGTAGGTGTCCCACCTCCAAGCCTGCTGTCCCCAGCACCCACCTGGCCTGGAGCGCCACCTTCTCTGCGTCCCAGCGGCCCTGCAGCTGGAGCATCTCCCGCACCTTGTCCCGTAGCTGCTGCTCCAGCCGTGCAGCCCGCTGGGCCCCCCGCTCCAGGCTGCCTGGCCCGCTGCCAGCAGACAGCCGCAGGTGGGAGTCAAGGTTCAGGCAGGCTGTTTGCAGGCGCCAGGCCATCCTGGCTGCCTCCGCTCGCATGTCCGTGAGACCCCTGCGAGGCAAGGGCGGCACCCCCAGCTGAGCCTCAGGACCCAAGGTCATGAGCCGCCCAGATGGGCAGGATCCGGTCATGTGGGCCCTTCTTTCTGCCCACAGCAGACCTCTCCCCTGCCATCCTCAGAAGCCCCCAGCACAAGGCCTGGATTGTGGCCACATCCCAGCCAGGGAAGGGGAGAGGGGGCTGGGCCAGGACAGATAGGACCGCCTCTCTGACCTGCTGAGCCTGTCTCCTGCTGACATGCACTTCAAGGATCCCAGAGCAGAGGGATCCGAGGGGCCCCAACACTCTGCCTAGGGATACCCTCTCTGCAGCATCTCCCAGCTGGCCTGCCCCCTTGCCTTCTCTCCCCTTGCACCCCTGCCTACCTCACTCTGTCTGTGCTTCTCCCCCATTGCCCACCTCTCCTGTCCATTCCTCTGCACCCACAAGGTCAACCTGATGCCCCATGTCCCCCACCCTGGTGGGCCCAGTGCTCGCACCTCTCTGTGGTCGCACGCAGGTCAGCCAGCTGTATGCGGAGTGCGGTGACCTGTCTCCACAGGGGAAGGAGATCCTGGGGCCCCCCTGAGCATGTGCGTGTGCTCTGAAAACAAGAGGCTAGGGTCTGCTTCAGGAGTGGGGTGTGAGGAGCCCTGCAGCCCCTCCCCACAAGCTCCTCTTCCAGATGCCAAGCTGGGTTGGCAGCAGCGGCAGGGAGCAGACCCACAGGGAGTAGCCCGTGGTCCTGCATCTCCCTTTCCCATGGGCTTACCTTCTCAAATAATGCAAATCCCCTGCTTCCTGGGGTGTGGTGCTCACTCCCCCACCCTGAGGACCTGGACCTGGGCAGGTGACCATAGCTGGGTCCTGCCTGGGACCAGGACTCACCCAGCCTGGTCTCCCTGCAGCCCTCCGCAATTGGGTCACCTCCCTCCCCCAATGCAGGGAGGGGAGCTTCCCTTCCTCCCCCAGCACCAAGAGAGCAGCTCTGGGGGAGCCCATAACATGTCCAGCTGTGGGACTTGGTCCTCGAAGGTGCCCGGGACCCAGAAGCCTCTACCACTTGGAGCTCACAGAGGGGAGGTTGCAGAAGCTGCCCGCTGAGACGGGCTAAGTGAATTTGGGTAGTAATGGGGAAGCAGGAAGCCACTGCAGGACTGCAGTGGTGGGAGAGGGGACAGAGCTGGGAGCAGTAACGGGATGGAGCCATGTACGTCCAGCGGTGTCTGCCTTCCAGGGAAAGGAGCTGAAGCCCAGGGGTCCTGAGTCTCCACACCACCTTCCCTGGCCCCGAACTCAGCTGTGCCCTGAGTGCTGACCTCCTGCACTTCCAGAGGGCGCAGCACGTGCCCAGCACTGCCCCACACTCCCTCTGCCCTCCCTGCTTGTTATAGGTGCCCCTGGAATGCTGCTTTCCGACAAAGCGTCCTCACTTCCTCCGGCTCTCAGGACACATACACCCTCTCTCCTTCATGAAGCCTTTGCCATCCCCTGTCCTGATCCCACATCCGAGGCCCGCCCACTGAGCCCAGGAACACTTGGCTGTGTGCCCCCAAGTCCTCCGTGTCCTTGCCCAGCTCCACCAACCCCCCATCGTGATCATCAAAGAGCAGGGATTAGACCTGCCCCCTGGAGGAGCGGATGCCTGGCCTGGCTGCCCAGGAACTTCAATTAACTATGTTAGATTCCAGACTTCACAGCTTCCGGAATGCAAGGCTGGGGAGGAACAGTCACGCCAAGAACTGGCGAGGTCAGGAACGCGAGAGCAACACAGGCAACCTCCTGCCAAACTCAGTAACTCGAACACATTTCCTTGACCACAGTGGCTCCAGGGACCGAGAGAGAAGCCTGGTGCCCATCCAAAGGGGGAGTCTGCCCACACTCAGGAGTGAGAACTCAAAGCTGCTTTCCAAGTTGGGGTGCCAGTGAGGACTGACCAGAACCCTTGCGCCCACATACACACGCAAGCACACGCAGACCTGCTTGCAGGGTGCCGTAAGGAGGTACCGTAAGGAGGTACCGTGGATGGAATGTCTGCGTGCCCTAAAATCTGAACGTTGAAACCTAATCCCCAGTGGGACGGGGTTGGGGGTGGGGCCTTCAGCTTCCACCCTCATGATGGAGTTAGTGCCCTTGTGAAAGGGGCCCTGGGGAGCTCCCTTGCCCCCTCCACTGTGCGTGGGTTTGTGTGTGATCATAGTGAGAAGGAGCTGTCCCCTGGCTGCACACTGAATGGCCTCACACCTTGACCTCGGACTTCCTGTCTCTAGAACTGTGAGAATTAATGTTAGCATGACATAAGTTCCAGTCTGTGGTTCTGTGACAGCAACCTGATGGTAAGATGCAAAGGAAAAGTATCTTCCCTATGGATATGGGGTCCCAAGTCAGCCTATATGCAGTTTTCAGTCTGAATTCATACAACCTGGGGTTTAAAAAGGACTCAGGCTGAAAATTTACTTCACTGGGCCCCAAAGACTGTCAGATCCCCTATGCACCTGTCAGAAGCCAACAAAAATCCCTTCTGGAAGATGCCACCTCCTTTCCAGGTTCCAAAGAACTTTCACAAAGTTCTAAGAAAAATAAACAGCTCTTGGTTTAAAATTAAAAAAAAAAAATCTCTAAAGACACAAGGAAACAGAGCACTATGGTTAAGAGCCAGAAGAAACAATAGAATCAGACCTTAAGGAACTTGAGATGTCGGAACATCAAACACAATGGAGAACATACCTATTTTCAGAATGCCTCAGCAAGTAAACAAGAAGCTTGAACATGTGAGTTAAGAGTAAGATATTTGGGAAAGAATCAACCAGAATTCTTAAAGATGAAAACCAGGATATTTGGAATTTAAGCAAAGCGGATAAGGATTAACAGCGCTTGGACACCAGAGACAGGCATGCTGACCAGGTAGGTGTATTTGATGACATTGACTCGACTACTAACCAGGGTGACACAAAGAAGACATGCCAGGTTCAGAAGGCTGAGGGAGTCGGGGGTCCTGAGAGCAGTGGGCCTGCTCGGAGTCAGGAGGAGCGAGGATGAGCACAGGCAACGCTCAGAGATGCCAGGGCTACTTTCTGAAAGTAACAAAGACACAGCAGATGAGTCCGAAGCAGAATAAATAGAAGGAAATCTGCACAGAGACACACCCTAGTAAAACCTCAGGACTGCAAAGTCAAAGCCAGGATCTTAAAGCTGCCCGGTGGGAGGACAGATACCATCAAAGGCCCTGGGGGCCAAACCTCCTGCCGGAGGATAAAGAAAGGGTCTTTAAAGTACTGAGAGAGAACACCTGCTGACCAGCGAGACTTCCTCTCACGGCTGAGGGGGAGATGAAGACCCTCGACCAGCCAGTCCAAGCTGAACTAGAGACCTGTCTTCCAGGACATTCATCTCCGCTCGGTGGGCCCAAGTCCGGCCGCAGGAATAGGTGGAAGCAGGGACGTGGGGCTGCCTCTCACAGGCCCTCTGCCGCATGCAGGGGCCCTGCTGTCAGCCACCACCCTGTGGTGACCGACATGGCCCTCTCAGTGACACGTGTAAAGGCGCACTCTCCCTCTGTTGCTCCTCCCCGTCCACTCAGCAGGAGGTCCACCCAGCCTTCCATGGAACAATAGCCACAGATGGCTGGGCACGGGGGATAAGCCCTCCTGTGTAGCAGCTGTGGCCCGGGCCTTTGGGGGCCCAGCCAGCTGTCCTTTCCGCCTGACGCTGGTCAGACAGTGCAGGATGGCCCCATGAGGTGGGTTCTTTTGAGGGACATCTGTGAGGGGTCAGCCTGGGGCCCAGGGACACTGGACCCCCTTGACTTTGGCTTTCACCTGGAAGCATTTTCCAGGCAGTGTCTGAGAGGAATCCTGCCAGTGGTGTCTAGGAAGACCATGGGGACACCTGACCCTCCCTTTGGGATGACCACAGCTACAGAGGCCCACCTTGCCCCAGGCTGGGCCCCTTTCAGGGGACTGTGTCCAAGGACAGACCAGAGCAGAGGTGTGAATGCCTCTTTTCACTCAGGGGCCACAGCCTAGCCATGGGAAGACCTGGACCAGGCAGGGGAGTGGGGCGTCATCTTTCCCAAGCATCTCCCCCAGCTCACATCAGGGGTCTTGCCGTTAGAGAACAACCCTGAGGCTGTGGCCTGGGGCACTGTGCCCTGAACCCCTGCAGGGCTTAGGGTTTCAGAAGACTGTGATCAGGCAAGGCCTGGGAGGGCCCTGCTGGCACTGGCCGTGGGCTGGGAGCAATGGCGTGGCTCCTGGCTCCTCCGAGTGTCCCCGACCCTGCAGTCCGAGTGGGAGTCAGGCCTATGAGCTCGCCTTCTCTTTCAAGAATGGGGCAGGCTGTGCAAGAGCCAGGACCCTGTGCCCTCATTCTACTTTCCGAGTCTGATCTTGAGGTCTCGCCTATTCTCAAGTCCCTCCCTCCTCCGGTGCCCCCACTCTGTAGACGGCTGTGGTCAAGCTGGGTGGGGAACGTGGGGTAGCAGGAGGTCAGTGGCCTTGCCTTCCAGGAGCAACCACAGCGAGAACCAATTCACCCTCTCCCAGCACCCCTCTGCATCCTCCCTGCCACCAGCCACAAACACTGGAGCCCGTGTCCCCCGCCCACGGGCGCAGTGGGAGAGTACCTGTCTACCAGTCCAGCGCTGGGCCTCCCTCAGCTCCAGCTCGCCCCGAAGATGGAGCATGCCATCCGCCGTCCTGGCCAGCTCCTCGGTCAGCCTGTCGTTGGCCTTCTTCACCTGTTTCAGCTGTTCCCGCAGAAGGGCGTTCACCTGGGAGAGACCTGTGCTCCTGGATGGGCCGAAACCACAGCAGCGTGACAGTGGGCAAGTGGCTTCTCCTTTGAAAGGCTCTCTGAGAGCCCAGCTCTACGCTTCCTGGGCCCGGCTGACCCAGCTCAGTGTGAAGGTCCCCAGGCCACACCTAAGAGGCATGGACCACCTGCCATGGGTCCCCCACGACTCCCCAAAGGGTGGCAGTATCTGAGTGCCGCCAGCACCCTCCTCCATCTCTGAGATGCCTGCTCTCCCTCTCCTCCGTGCTGAGTGCTCCTGGCTGTGCTCCATGAGTGTGGCTGGCTCAATCGCAGGGGCCGTGAGCCCTGAGACACATGAGAGGGGTGGCACTGGGAGCTGAGGGCACCAGGCCTGGGAGGAGGGCACGGGGCAGTGGAGAGAGGGAGTCTACACGCCCTGGGAAGGGGGCAGCCCCCCTGTGACCATGGGGTCCTTTCTCCACTGAAGCCAGCTGCGTGGGGTGGAGTGTCTCTCTGAGATCCAGCCCTTCCGGGCAGGCTGCAAGGCCACAAAAGGGACCTTCTGTGCTCCTCTTTGCAACCTGGGCGTCCTCTCCTCCTGGGCTGTGACCCCTATTCCCTCCCCTGCTGTTTTTGAAAACTGGTTTTCAAAATGCTTCTCAGCACTTTGCTTCCATTTCCAGAGTCCCTGAGGATGAAGCAAGTAACGGGAAGTATTCCATAAATGTTCTAACCTCCCCCAGGTCTGGATTTGCCGCTGGGCTCAGGGGTGTAACCCCTCCTGTCTGTCTTCCCTGCGGTGTGGAGATATGCCCTTCCCTTCTGGGGATGGGGTCCTGGATCTTGGGGGTCAGGGCCGCTTCTGGAGAGCTGGGGTTACCACCGGGAGGCTAGGGCACGACATGCACTGGCCGCTGGTGAGCAGAGGAGTCCCTGACCATGCAGCCGAGGGGACCTGGGAGGCAGGGCCAGAACATGAAGAAGGGGGGTCTTGAGGGCAGCCCCCATGGGCACCCCGGGACTGGCTGTGCTAACAGGGGCCACAGTCAGCTCAGGGGCCTGCCTGCAGAGCTGGCCAGGGCACCAGCCTTGGCGTCATTGGGGGCCTGGAGGGGGCACGCTCAGGAGCACAGGGCCTGTGAGACCCTCAGACCTGTGGGACCTGCACCCCACACCTGAGGCCACAGCCGGTGGGACCCCTCCCCACCCTGCTCTGCCCACTCCTCCCACTGCCTCTGAGGCCTGCAGCCAACGTGTCCAGGCAAATTTGACTTGGAGTCTCTTTAGGAAGAGACTGGCCAAAGGCCCCAAGTCACAGTGGGGTCTGCCACCTCTAGGGGTGATGGCCGAGCTCCCAATAGCCTTGACTGCCTCACACATCCCGACTCACCTCTGCTCAGCAGCCTCCAGACGGCCCAAGGCCTCTTCCAGGTCCACGCTGTGCTCCAGCTCGGACCTCCAGAGCCGAGCCTCTGTGCTCTCCAGGTGGGCCTGTAGCTGGAGAGGAACAGAAGCCCCCACCTGGCCAGTGGCTCCCCAGCCCCCAGTTAGGGCGGCTGTGGATAAAGCCCTCCCCAAGGTGGGAGAAGGGGTGTCCCTCCGGCTGCCAGCAGGGGCCTGCTGAGGCTCAGGCCCCTCCCCACAAGGGGGCCGAGGCACAGGCATTCGCCCCTGACCCTATGCCCAGTGCCTGTGGCTGGCTGAGGAGGGGTCGCCAGGGCCTGCTTCGTAAGGGGCAGGATGGCTGAACTGGGGTCACTCTCCATTGAGAGAGCTGAAGATAGGGGTCCTGCCGCTCCAGCTGCACCCCTCCCCCACCCCAGTGCTGGAATCTGCGTTCTGAGTGTCTCCTCTCACAGGTGGGCAGGAACATGGCCACCACCACGAATGGGCTTCGTCCCCCTGCAGGCCTGGTGGAGAGGGGTGTTGTCTGAGCTGGACCAGGCCTGCCTCAGAGTCTGTGTCCTTCCTGGCTCCCTGCTGGGACCTGAGCAGATGGGGAGCCTGGAACTCCAAGGGGAACAGGAGGTGCCAGGGGTTGCCCCCAGCTTGCTGACCCAGAGCACACTTGGGGTGTCTGGGGAGGGGAACTCAGGTCCAGTGGGCAGGCTGGAGGCCTGGGCAGGGGCTGGGGGTGTCCGCAGAGCAGGTACACTGGCCACCCTGACCCCCGCCCCACCCTGTCCATCTGCTCAGGGGTGATGCTGGGGAGGCCTGGCCCCTTCAGGCGCCTGCACAAGGGGGAGGCTGGACGCCCGCGGGAGCCGGCCATGTGCGCTGAGCTGCGGGGTCTGGGAGTTCAGTTCTGACTCATGAGGCTTACTAATCTGTCCGCAGGATTTCTGGCTTCTCTTCCCACTCCCGGTTCCCAACATCTCCCCACCCTGTGCTAGGAAGGTCCCCCACCCCCAAAACTGGGCCCAGGCCACAGACAGCCCTGGAGGGCTGGAGCTTGCTGATGTCCTCCTGGCTCTGACAGGGATGAGGACACCGACCCTCGCGGTCCTGCCCTGATGGGTGCAGTAGGGGTGGGGCAGCGGGGAGAGCGGGTGTTTAGTGTGGGGACTGGCGATGCCCTTGGGTAGCTGGCACAGGTCACTGGTCATGCTCAGAAGGGCCAGCCCTGGTTCAGTCTCGGCTCCAACACGGGCAGCACGGCCCTCGGCAAGTCTGGCTGCTCTGAGGAAAGTGGGGTCATCTATCCTGCCACGTAGTGCAAGGAGGACTCTGAAGACAGCAAGGGTAGGGTGGGCCAGATGCATCGGAGGCCCTGAGCACCCCACACTGGGACCGGGCATCCTGGCTCAATCCCACTCAGGAGCCATGGGGCTTGGAGGGGCAGACCCTGGAAAAAGGCTCAGGCCTGGCAGGCTTCCTCAGCTTTCTGGCATGGGTTCACACCTGAAAAACAGGAGCTCCCCCAACCCCACACTTTATAACCACATGGCCTCTTGCTGCGGCGGAAGGCACTGTAGGTGCTCTGGGGACCGAGGACTGAGGACCCACTGGTCACAGCTGTCCTCTGAGGTCTGTGGTGGCCTTGATTGTCAGGAAAAGGTCAGGGGGGCAAAGCCAATTCTCTACAGGCTCTGTCTGAAGGTTGAGACCCATTCCTAGCAGACCCCAAAAGTGAGGTGCTGGGGCCAAAGGCTCAGGATGACCAGGTTCTCCCCACAAAGCCCCCAGGCAGCCAGGACACAAGTCCACACTTCAGAGACCAGGGGAGAGGAGCACTAGGAGGAAGAGGGGCCTGGACACCCGTCCTATTCTCACCCTCCCCTCTCCAGCCCATTTTCCGGTTTGTGGCTTGGGGTTTGGTTTAGATGTGCTGTGGCTGAGGTCCCCTGTCACTCTGTGTCCTAAGACTCAACAATGGTCCCGGCCCTCTGACCACCAGTCCCAGCAGGTGACCGCCCTGCCGCAGGCCAGGCTGCCGCCTTCTACTTGTGCCCACATACCCGGGGCACATGCTTACCCGCTCACTGAGTGCATGGTATCTGCCGGCCAGCTCGTCCTGCTCAGAGCCTGCCTGGGTCAGCAGGTTCTCCAGCCTGGACAGCTCCTCCTGCAGGAGCTCGTTCTCCTCCTGCACACGGGCCGCGACGGCCAGCGGCTCCTGTGTCCCTGGACGGGTAGCACCAGTGTCAGCCCGGGTGGCTGAACCAGGGTCCCGCTATCTCCTCAGCCACCGCACCCTGTCCGGTGGGCCTCTGGGCCCCTCACTGGGCTCCCACAGCTGGTCTGCCCTGCTCTTCCAGGAGGGTCCCAGGTCTGACTTGGGGACCCTGGTTGGGGGATGTGGGCTTCATGCTCCAGGCCTTCCTCCCTCTCCTGCTGGAGGACTGGCCACCGATGGCTGCCCTACTTCTCATCCACATCTCTAACCCCAACACAGTCCCAAACCAATTAGAGTGGAGGGTGTGGGAGTGGCCTGGACTCTGGGGACCACCACCCCCTGTGAAGCAGTGAGAACTACTGATTTGGGGTAACCGGATCACATCTGAATAGTGAGCTGCTTTTCTAAGCGTTCAGTGGGCTTTCTTCTGCCTTGGCAACAACCTTTTGTGAGCGACTGGTTCCCTCAGGAGGCTGGACAGACCCTGACTACAGAAAGGGGTCTCAGGACACACACATGAGGGAGTCACCTGCACTAGCAAGGGCCAAGTGGCCTGATCAGCTGGGTGGCCTGCTGCGGGGACCCAGCTGGGGGCCAGTCCCTCTGCTGCAAAGCCTCTCCTTGTGGCAGGGGATGGGGGGAAGGCTGGGTGAGCAGAGGTCTGGAGGGGACCTGCGGGCTCGGTGAGCAGAGGGCTGGGCGGGCTGGGGGGACTAGCTCAGTGTCTGTGCTTCCTGGGTTTTGACCTTCAGGATTTTCACTCATCTAATGAAACAAATACGATGAAATCCAGATGGCTGGTCACAAATGTGTCACAAACAGAAATGCACCACTGGAGAGTCCTTGTGGCCTCGTGGTAAACATGCTGTGGGTCTTGACATAGGACCCCTGTGGTGACCCCTGTGGGAGGGTGTGGTTCTGTGCCCCATCACACCGCAAGAAGACAGGCCTGGAAGGACCAACCGAGGGGGACACTACGGGGCCGGTGAGGAAGCTGATGGCCCTGTGGCTCCCCTGGTGCTCACCCCCACCTCCATCGTCACCCCTACCACTGTCCATCACCTTGGTGTGGTTCGTCCCCCAGGCTGCCAGCCACGATCTCACGGATTCGGGCGGGCACAGGCGTGGGCAAAGCCTGCCGGCCTGCCCCACGAATGGTCAGTGTCCGGGCTTCTCTGGTGGCCATGGGACTCAAGACAGTGTCCTCCAGCCTCTGAAAAACAGCCATGCAGACACACTGGAGGCTGGCAGCCTCCTGGACAGCTGCCAAATACCTCCCCACAAGCCCACTGGGGTTAGTGGGGCCACCGCAGGGCTCCCCCGCCCCCAGCAGCAGTGCCCCGGAAAGGACTGCCTGAGGCTATCTCCCAAAGTACATGCCTTGGTTTCTCTACCTGCAGGGTGGGACAGCACCCTGCCTGCCTGGGATGTGTCCTGAGCCTTGGGGGCCAGGAGGACACATAGCCTATCTGCTCACGAGTGCCCTGCCCTCTGGCCCTGCTCCACCTCTGTGGGGGCCAGGCTGAGTGTTCATATTGGGCCCCTCCAGAGAAACTGGGAGGCAGTTGCCCTTGCTTCGGTTATGGGACCCGATCTGGCACCCCCCTGCAGCACACAGTCTCACCACTTTGGCTATGGGGGTTTCTGAGAGGGACTGGCAACTTGTAAGAACCTAGATCCACCCACCCACCTCCCTGCCCACCAGGAAGGGCATGAGGAGGCCCTGGGAGAGGGCAGGACAGGAACCAAGGGAGGGGCTGTGGGAGGAGAGTGATGACAACCTTCCTTCCTGGCCTGTCCGGAGTAGCTGACCTGCTGTGGGAGAGGTCTCAGGAAGCCTGGAAGCAGGCAGGAAATCCCAGGGTCCTGGATACCCAGAGGCTGGGGCTGAGGGGTCCTGGGCTCTGCTGGCACATTGCTTTGGCCCTGGGGATTCTCTGCATCATTAGGTGAGAAGAGCTGGGGGAGGGCCGGGCGTCACCCTCCAAACCCCGGGCCGGTCAGGGCCCTTCTTGCCGGTCTAACTGCGGCACTGGCCCTGGGAAGGACATTCAGGGGCCCGCGCCCGCTCTGGACATGTGAGGCTTCCCAGGGGATCCTGGAGACAGATGTCTGCTCCCAGTGACTCTCCAGGGCTGCAAACCGGGCTCCTCCTGTCACCCCCCTACCCAGTCCCAGATGTGCTCAAACTCACCCCTCCTCTAGCTTTCAGGATCCCTTTCCTTGTGGTCCCTCAGAGCCTGCTCGCCCACCCTGTGACCCTCCAGATCTCCCTCCCAGCCTGGGGTCCCAAGGAGTGACCTCCTACTGCCGGTCTCCTCCCTCCTCTGATTTCCTCCTGGCTCTCTCTGAAGACCTTCTCCAGGTTCAGACCCCTTCACCAGGCTCTGTCCCTCAGCCCCTGGCTGGTTGGGGTGGAGGGCTTCCCGGGGCCTACCCTTGTTCTGCCCACCCCACTGCCTGGTATTTCTGCCCACATGCCTCCAATTCTCCCTGGACACAAGGCGTGCTCCACTTGGACCAGACTGCTAAGAGTCACCCCCAGACCTGGGCTCCTGCACGACACTTGGTAGGGCCCCGTTCTGATCCCCAACAGCAGCCCAGTTCCTGGACCATCACTGAGCAAATACCACTGACTGACTTCCACTGCCCTCCCCCTGGAGCGAGAACCCTAGTTTTGGCCCACCTGGGACCCAGCCCTTCTTCAGGCCTGAGCCTTGCTTTGCAGGATGTTTGAGTTTGACTCAGCAGGGGGCCTTGGGAAGGCGCCACCCCCCCACATCTCCCCCAGATGACCCCCTTCAATATTACCCCGGGTGGGAGGTGAGCAGCCTGCCTTGGGGGCCTGGGAGGACGTGCCTGCTACCCTTTCTGGGCCAAGCAAGGCACGGGTGCCAAGACCATCAACCGCCTCTAATGTCTTCCCGGGAGGCAAGGCGGCTGAAGGGGCTCAGCCTTTGTCTGCCCTGAACCCTGTATTTGCACTCAGGGGAAACTGAGGCTCAGCGGGGTAGCGAGACCCACCCCGGGCCCCGCTGTAAGAACAATGAACTCCAGGAAGCTCTCCCTCCGAGGCCCAGAACGGCTCTGCCCCTTCGCCCTCCCCCACCCTCCCCGCTCCCTCGGGCATCCGAGGCGCCACCCGCTAACGGGAAGGCAGCAGCGCCGCATAAACTTGACTCATTCCTAACATTTACAGAGGGTCACTTATTAGCCGAGACGTCCCAAGAGGCGCTGGGGGCGTAATGGGTTCCAGCTGTGGCCGGGTGCCTGCGATGGACCGTGGCCCAGCTGGAGCCGAGGGGGCGCGGCGGGGGGCGCGCGGAGGGGAGGGACTGTGGGGTGTTGAGGGCGGGGAAGGGGCAGGCCCGGAAGGGGGAGGGGGAGGGGCAGGAGGGGGGCGGGCCGGCAGGGGGAGGATCGGGAGGGGGCGGGTCCGGGAGGGGAAAGGGAGGAGCTAGGAGGGGGCGGGGCCAGGAGAGAGGCCTGGTCTCCATCCGGGGCGGATTGTGGCGCCTCGCGGACCTGGGGCAGGACCTCGCTGCTCTCTGCCTGTTCCGGGCATCCTTGAGTCTGGCGCAGAGAGGCTGCTCACTCCGCCCCGGGACCTTCCTCCCCAGCTGGCTATTTGTGGCTTGACTCCGGTGACCGGGCGTCAGCGTGTCCCGGCAGTGCACAGGGAGACTTCGGACTATCCCACTCCCCGCCCGGTCGCGTACTCTCAGACCGTCGGAAGGCGGTTTCCCCAAAGACCTCAGACTCATAGTTGAACCCAGCCATTACCCTTCCTCCTGCCCCCAGCGCCCTCCTCAGCTCAACTTGCACTAAAGGCGAGCTCCCAGCCCCTGTGCGGCCCTGTCCATGGAAGCAGATCCCCGCCTACGGGGCCAGGCACCCCTTGGTCACGGTCACTGCTCCGCTCCCCACCGCAGCTATGTGGAGGGGATAGCCTGCACGCGTAGGAACCTGGGCTCCCCTATCTATCCCCCATCCCGGATCAGAGTAGGATTCCCCATGAGAATCGGGCTGGGGTCCCTGTCCTGCCACAGCCAGCGCAAGCTGTGACCCTGGGTGTGTTTTCTGCCTCAGCTCCTCCTTTGTGAAGTGGGAGGGGGCATCCTAGAGCCCTGGGGGTGCTGCAGCTCTGTGGAGGGTGCGGTGTGTAGTCTGCGGGACAGGAGGCCTCTCCGGAGGGCAGGTGACCTTGTAGGTCAGGAATGGAAATCACGAAGAGCAATGTCACTACTTCCTCTTGCTGGGGCAGCATCAGTAAGTCCCTGAGTGGCCCCTCTGGACGTCCAGGCTGCTAGGGACACGGGGACACAGACAGCCTATGACCCAGGCGGAGAGAAGGATGGGTTCACAAGAGGAGCCTGGCATCTTCAAGATGGAGAAGGTGAGGCTCCCTGCACCCGACTGAGGGGGATCTTTGGGTGCCCCAGAGTGAGCCCAGGGGCGGTTAGGGAGGGGCACCAGAACCTCTGATTAAAATCACCCTGGGAGAGAGCGTCCTGAGGACGATCCCAGCTCAGCCAGGTCACAGGCTGCAGCGTCCTGAGGTAGCAGCAGACCTAGGGAGGGAGTGAGAGTCCAGGGGCTGTCCTGGGCCGCTCTGCTGGTGGACCGCCCGCCGCTGCCAGGGCCTGGCGGCCGAGCTCCCACAGTGCCGCCGTGTGGCCATTGGCGGCACTGCAAGAGGCTGCGCCTGTCCCAGTCCTTGAGCTAGGAGGCTGCGGCAGGGGGTGGGAGACGTGCAAGGGTGCAGGGCTCACTGGCCCCGCGGAGAAGCCGAGAAGTAAAGGTCAGGTCCGGAGCCCGTATGAGTGGAGTGAGGCGGGGCACTCACCACAGAGGATTTCTTAGCGAACATTGTAACACCCGCTCTTGTCTACTTTATGGGTGAGGGGCCTCCACCAAGGTCATGCACTCACAAAAGGCAGTGTTAGGACTGAGCCACCTGTTGGTCCTGGCACCTTCCTGGTGGCTGGAGACTGGGTCTCAGCAGGCATGCTGGCCTCAGGTGTCCTCCCCAGTGTGGCACGTCCCTGAGCCCAGACAGATGGGCTCTCGACGCCCCCGCCCCTGTTCTCCTCCCTGTGTGCCCACTCCAGCCCTCCCACACCTGTGGGCGCCACAGGCCTTCCCGCATCCCTTGGCAGCAGGCTTTGGCCTCGCCAGGAGCGGGTACAGCTGGGAGAACATATCCGAGGACAGGGCCTGCAGCCAAGGCCAGCGACCGGACGTCTGCTTGCCATCTTTCCGTGGCTTGGCCTGCGGCAGAGAGGGCCCTAGCCAGGGTGAATGCCTGCCAGGCTCCGTTTCCTGAGGAAAAAGAGCTTCTCTGTGTCTGGGATAGCACCTGGCCACTGACTGCTGTGTCTCAGCACTGGCCAGTGTAGATTTCTACGCATTTGTGGAGCCTTCTGGGGCACTGGGTATCACCCCAGGAGCAGGGCCGTGCTTCTTATGGGGGGCCGTTTGGCCCTCAACTCATAATAAATGAGAGATGTGGGCCAGGCACTGAACAGGCATCGGGGGGAGAGGGGGACAACTTGTCAATTATCTCTGTGTCCCCAGCATGATCAACGCTTGGCACAGGTCACCAAGTGAATGGCGGAAAACCCAGCCTAAGGAGCAAATCACCAATTACGAAACAAATTATATTAAGGAACTCTTGGAAGGGCAAGGGCCCTGTTGGTCTTGTTTGCTCCTGTGTTTGCAGTGCCCACACAGACCTCCTAGAGGAAGTGGCAGGTGAGCTGTCCAACAGCTAGTGGGGACAAAGATCAGGTGTCCAGCTAGAGGGAAGAGTGGAAGCAAAGGCAGTGGGGAGGGTTCTCAAAGTCTGCGTGGGGCCTGGGGGAGGAGGGCGCAGAGGACACTATGGAAGGCTTGAATGCCTGGCTCCTTGGTGGCTCTGCCACCACAGTCCCCTTGGACCCCAGGGTGGCGGCAGGAAGAGCAGTGTGTCTGAACAAGGAGGGGGATGTGGCCCATCTGATCAGCATAGCTGGTTGATCTAACCAGGTCTGCTGTGACCTTGGCTGCATCAGGGCAAATGGACAGAAGATTCAAGATAGGCCAGCGCCTCGGTCCCTGGCTGGCTTGGAAGGAGGACAGGCCATGGCCCTTGGCAAGTGACTAATGGGGGCTTGCCACACTGTGATGCTCTCAAGCCATCCCAGCTCCTGTCCCATGGGTGGGCCCCCTCAGCTTCCATCCCACCCCATCCTGTCCCATCCCACCTCATCTTCTGTCATGCTCCTAACACATGGCTCCAGCAAGCCTGCCTTCTCCTTACGCATCAGTGATTTTTCTCTCTCTTTCAGACCTTTCTTATAGACACAAACTGTTTTAATTTATACCACTCTTAAAAAAAAAATGTTGCTCCTACATGCCCCATGAGGGGACCTTGCAGTCAAGGTCACCCGTGATCTACATGCTGCTGATCCCAGTGGTCCATGGTCTCCACTTCCTTGATCTGTTAGCAGCAGGTGGGTCCCACCTCCTCCCTGAAACACTGTCTTCCTGACACCACCCCTCCCAGCTGTTCTCACGTCATTGGTCTTGGTCTCCTTGGCTGGTTCCTTCTTGCCTCCCCCATCTTTGAGTGGGGAGTGCTCCAGCTCCTCTTTCTATGTACACACACACCTGGCTACTCACTTGCCAACAACCCCAAATGTCTGTTTCCAGCATGGAGCTCCTCCCTGAGGTCAGCGCCGTGCATCCACTCACCTCCCCCCTCTCCCCACCTGGATGCCAGTAGGCTTGTCCTCGCCAAGATGTTCCAAACAAAACCTCTGAACACAGTGTAGTCAAACGAGGTTTTAAAAAAAACAATATGAAAATCCCCACATGTTTGGAAATCAGGGTGTTTATACCTCTAGAGAACCCATGGATAAAATCAAATGGAAATTAGGAAACAGTTTGAACTGGATAATGACAAAAATTATTATGACAAAATGTATGGAAGGTAGCAAATGCATTGTTTAGAAAGAAAAGCAGACCTTAAAAAAAGAACCAAAAGCTAGTGGGAAATGATACAGTTCCTGTGGTAAACAGTGGGGGTGGGTTCCTCACATTAAACCAGGAGTTACTGGGGGACCCAGCAACCCCATTTCTGGGTGTATCCCCAAAATGAGTGAAGGCGGGACTGGAAGGGAGATTTGCACATCAGCGATCCAGCAGCGTATTCACACAACCCAGCCGTCTGTAAACAAGTGAGCGGAGACATACAACATGGTCCAGCCGCACAATGGAGCACAATCCAGGCTTGCAAAGGAAGGACACTGTGACCACGGCGAGCACATGGATTCCCCCCCAGGGGACACTGCGCGGAGTGAAATGGATCAGGCACAGAAGGAGAGTTAGTGTCTGACCCCACCTCCGAGGTCCTGAGAGGAGCCAAATTCATGGAGGCAGGGAGCAGAAGGCGGGTGCCAGAGGCTGGGGTGGGGGTGGGGAGTCTGTGTTTCATGGGGACAGAGTTTCTGTTTGAGAAGGGGAGAAAGTTCTGGAGATGCTGGCGGTGATGGCTGCATATGTGTGAATGGGCTCAATGCAGCTGAACCGCACACTTAAAAAATGGTGAAAACAGTAAATTCTATGCCTAGATACATCTATATTTACCATAATTTTTTAAGAAGTTAAAAAAACCTTTTTTTAAGATTTTATTTATTTATTTACCTGAGAGAGAGAGAAAGAGAGAGAGCATGTGCGCGCACGTGTGCGGAGGGAGAGACGGAGGGAGTGAGACCGGAAGAGGGAGAGAGATTCTTAAGCAGAGTCTACACTGAGCACAGAGCCCAATGCCAGCCCCGATCCCATGGCCGCAGGATCATGACCTAAGCTGAAACCAACAGTCAGACACTTAACCGACTGAGCCACCCAGGCGCACCGGTAAACAAATCTTTTTTTTAAAAAGACACCTGCAAATTAATGAGATAATCACGCATCTCAAAAAGTCAGATGAACAACAATCCCAAAGAACTGAAAAGCGAAGGATAAAAAGTCTATACATTAATGGACAAGAAGGCAAAAATACTGGAAAGAGGATCAACCAATGGCTGAAATCAGAATAGGAAACGTGGTATCGCTCAGGGTGACCGACCCCTCTTGGCCTGTCCTGGGTCCCCAGAATGTCATGCGGGAAGCCCCGGATCTCCAGCCCCTCAGTTCCAGGGGCCGGTGGCTATCTGCTTCAGGTCCTCAGACATCAGAACAACAATGAGAACATACTGGAAATAACTTCCGTCAGTAAGTCTGGAAATTCAGATATTGTGGACAAATTCCCAGGAAATATCATTAATCAGAACATATACCCAAAAGAAAGAGCATCTGTTTTGGTAGCTCTTAACCCAGAATCCAGGGCCCTCTGGTGTTGGCCTCCTGCCCGGGCTCTCCCGTCTCTCTGCTCTGGGCCCGGACGCCCCGAGAACCCAGCTCTGAGGAGGAGGCCTGGGGCCAGGGGCTCTGGGGTGCCATGCCCAGGCTGCAAGGGGCGCTTCTCTAGGCACCGGGGTACTTTCAGGCCCATTCCCCCGCGAGGCCCCCATCCACAAACCGCCCCTTCCCAGGCCCCGCAGTTTCCCCACTTGCAGCTGGGGGCGCTGGAGGAGCCCCGTGGGCCCGCCTCCCTGTCTGGACAGGCTATCTGAGCATCTCTTGGCGCCAGCCTGCCTGCTCACCCCCAGGTGCCGGCACCAGGATCTCCATCACCACGATGCAAATAACAGGTTTGGCTGGGTGGGCGGCGCAGACCTCGGGTGCGACTCCTTGTGACTTCCAGGTGACAGTTTCCCACAGGTAGTGGGGACTTGCGGGACAGTCTTGTCCGCCAGGCACCTGCGCGCACTGCAGACAATGGCTCCAGCCCGAGTTTCTCCCTCAGATGCCGGTAACCATAGCAACGTGCTTCAACCCTCAAGCCTACGTTTTCCTGGAATCCAGAGGGGATGATAGATTCCTCCCCAGCTGACGGCTGATGGGAGGGTGCGATGCCTGGCTGAAAGAGTCTGGAAACTGTGATGTGCAAGCCTGACCTCCCTCTGCCTGTCCTTCTCTCGGGCCAGAGAACTAAGACTCTTGGGAGCCGGACAAGGTCACCAGGCCCGGCCCTTGTTTTGTGTTGCTGCGTCGCCCAACTCAAGGATCCTGTCCCATCACGTCGTACCCTATGTGGGCACCATGTGTGTGTGCATGGGGGTGTGCATGTGTGTGTGCATGTGGAGGGTGGTTCCACCGTGTTATGTAATCACGTGGCACCAACCATGGGCGATCACTCTTCTCTGACCACGTCAATCCCATGTCAACCCCCTACAGCACACGCTGAGATTCTAAGAACCGGGTTAATTAACAACTGAGTCAGCCAGGGCACCGAGGGTTCACTGGCATCCCTAAGGGGTCAGTCAGGGTGGGGACGACCTGACCCAGGTGGCCAGAGCCAGGTGATGGCAGTGGGGTGCAGCTGAGGAATGGGATGGCGGTGCTGGGCACTGGATCGACTCTGGGAAGTAGGGGAACAAAGGAGAAAGGGGCAGGGGGGTAGTTCGTGGTCCCCACTGTTGTTGCTGTTATGCACACGGGAAAGTTCTGGAAGTCACAGAATAGATCCTGGGATGAACCCTATCTGCCCAGCAATGGCGGCTCCCACACTCTGCCAGGAAGAAAGCAGGGAATGAGATTCCAGCATGTGGGACTCCGGTGTGGAAGGGTAGTCCATCACTCCCTACCCACAGTGCTCAGGCTGTGACCCTGAGGCTCGAGAAGGGGGCTGGTGACCTGAGCTCACCCAGGCATGAACGGGGAGGCCGGGTGCTCGGCTCAGGTCTCCCCACACCCAGGCCACCCTCTCCCAAGGCCCCTCTCCTGAGCTGAGGCTGCCCCGGTGTATGTGTGCGTGCACACGTGCGTGTGCGTGCTCGTGCTGACCATGTGAGTGCTCGAGGGCCCCTTGGAGCTGGGGAGGTGTGGCTTCTCTGTGCACCCTCCCAAGGTGCCCTCGGAGCCTACTCCCAGGAGGGTGCTAGAGGGCGGGCACCCCACTGACCTGGATCACGGTGTCTAGCCCCAGTGGAGACCGCTCTGCAGTGGCATCCCCGTGGCCAGGCTCGCTGGAGGCAGAGCTCATCTCGGATGGGAGCACAGGACTCGGGAGAGAGCCGGGGCTTGGCTGCCCGGTGAGTGTCCTCCTGGTGCCCTCGCCGGGCTGGGACCGGCCCCAGTGCACCCAGCCCCACACCTGTGCAGCACCTGGCTCCTCCAGTTGGTTGGTCGGTTGGGGCGTCCAGCTGCCCCCTCTGGGCTGGCGACCAAGCAGCCAACTAAGCCAGAGGCGTTGCTGGGGCAACCGCGACGCTGAGGATTGAGTTTCCCTGGAAACAGGAGTGCAGGCCCTGTTGCCATGGGGACTAAGGAACGCTGTTGTCTGCAAGCCGTCTCCTGGTCACTGGAGACGCCCTGGGTGAAGCTGTTCACCTGAAAGACCACAGCCAGAAGGGGCTGGCTCTCCCCCAGGCCTCCCCCTCCCCCGCCCTTGTGGGGAAGGGCTCCCACCTTCCAGGGGCATTCTCCCTGGGAGAAATTGTGTGTTTGGGGCCACGCATCAGCTTCCTCCTAAAGGAAAATCAGAAGCTATGTCTTCCTTCTCCTTTTCTTTTCTTTTCTTTTCTTTTCTTTTCTTTTCTTTTCTTGTCTCTTTCTTTCTTTCTTTCTTTCTTTCTTTCTTTCTTTCTTTCTCTTTCCCTTCCTTCCTTCCTTTCTAAGATTTTATTTATTTATTTATTTGACACACACACACACACACACACACACACACACACACACACAGAGTGAACATAAACAGGGGGAGCCAGAGAGGGAGAAGCAGGTTCCCACTAGGCAGGGAGCCCAATGTGGGGTTTGATCCCAGGACCCTGAGATCATGACCTGAGCCAAAGGCAAACGCTTAACGACTGAGCCACCCAGGAACCCCTATGGCTTTCTTTTCTAACATCTAGAAAAGAACTTTCAGGTCAGTAGTGGGAATGTGTCCAGCAGATGGGTAGACTGAGGCCTGGAGAGGAGAAACCACCTGCCCGAGGACCAAAGGAGACCCCCATCATCCTAACCTTGCACTTGGATGCTTCCCTCTGGAGCTCGGTCTCAGGGTAATCTACTCCATGGGTGATTTGTGCCACACTCGTTGTACCCCTGTCACTGAAAAATTTTCCAGAGCCACATAAAGGACCAGCAGGGACACCCAGAGCTCACCCACTGGGGTGATGGGACCCAGGCCCAGGAGCAAGTGAGGGACAGGCACAGACCTGTATCCCTCCCAGCCTGGGCCTCCTGGGGCCTCTGGACTGAGTCTGGCACTGGGCATCGAGGCAGACCAGTGTCCCCTCCCCACGCCTCATTCCACGCTGGGTCTCTCCCAGCAGAGTCCCTCTTGAATAGGGACAGCAGCTGGAGATGGGCCCAGCAGCCAGGAATGACTGCCCCTCGAATGAGAGGAGACCTATGTGGGACTCTGGGGATGTCCTGGGGACCCCCAGAGCCTGGGCTCCTCTGAGGCCACTCGAGAAGATAGGAGTCAGCCTGCCTGGGCAAGGCCAGAAGGGACCTGGTGGTGAGGGGGGTGCTCGGTGGGAGGGCTGCTGAGGGACTGCGAGGGACCAGGCTGTCTCCTCAAGATGGAAATTCAAGACCGGGTCACCTGTGCTTAAAGGAAGCTGTCTTTGAGAAGCACGGGATCTTTGTTCCGGAATCCTCAGGGCCTCTGCAGGCCGCCCCCCGGGAGGACAGCCACCGGAGTGCCTCACGCAGGCACAGGCCAGGCTCCCCAGCTGGACGTAGTCCCACTGGGCCTGCAGGGCTGGCATGGGGCTCATTAGACAGGCAAGTGGACGGGCCCTAGCCAGTCCTTTCGCCCCAGGCCCCTCTGGACAAGCGTAACTTCCAGCTTCTGAAGGTAAAAGCCGAGATCCAGATTCAGAGCCCAGGGGACCCATGCTGTAGCTTGGGTACCTTTCAGCACCCTAGGCTGCCTATAGCACCCTTCCCCCAGAATCTGAGCCCAGGGGGTTCGGAGAGGTGTGAGGCAGGTGTCCTCAGGGAGGCAAAGGGAGTGGCAACATTGCTCAGGGGCTGGGCCTCCTCTGACCCCGACGAGGTGGGCTCTGGGGGCATAGAGGGTAAGGCCTGCCTCCAGTAAGTCTTCCCACCCGGGGAGCTCAGTGTGGGACATCTGTGTGGTGGTGGCACGAGGGGGCCGTGGAGGCCAGCGTAATTATCTGCCATCTCTCTCAGGAAACCAGGAGAGTCGCGGCTCCGTGGTGGGAGGGACAGCCTGTCGCGCCTCTTGCCCCTACTCCCCAACCCAGCATTCACCTTGGCTTATTCTCCCCCTTAAGCCCTCGGGCCACACAGAGAAGCCCGGCACAGGTCCGCCTTCGCCCACACCCCTGTACCCTTTTCTCTAGGGAGATGCCCAGCCCCTCGGGGCTTCCACAGGCCCCGTGGCCTGACTGCTTGGTGTCCATGCTTGTGGCTCCTGGTCCTGGGCTGTCAATGGACGAGAAGGAGAACCTTCAGGACCAGGCAGCCCTGGGCCCGGGCATGGCTCCTGGGGAATGTTCTGGAGTGGATGGAGGGTGTGATAGAGGTCCTTAGCATGCAGGTAGCACCTCTGTGGGATGGGCAGGGGCAGGGCTCAGGAAAGACCACTGCTGGTCCTGACCCAGAGCAAGAGAATGACTTCAACTTTTTCTGTCTGCTGCCAGCCCTGGGGGCACCAGAATTTGCCACATCTGATTCAGACCCTCCCTGAGAGGGGAAGGGACCTCAAAACTCGCACCAAAGTGCTGGCTTCCTGGTGTGAAGGCCAACCCTCGGCCACATTCTTATATTCGCTCTGACAGGCATGACAGGGATGGGTGCGGCCTGGCCTGCCATGGATGGGACACATTGCCCTGATGTGTCCTCTGAAGATGGGTCACATGCAGGGCAACCCCGGAAGAGAGGAACGGCCTGCCTCTGTCCTAGCCCCGCAGGGCCTCCTAGCAGCCGGGCCACCCTAACTGGCTCTAGGATCTGTCCAGGTGTCAGTCTGCTCTCCAGTGACTCTGTCCCCTGAGGACCTGCCCGCCCCCACCCCCGGGGGCAGCTGTCCTTGGTGACAGTCCATCGGGAATGTGGGTGATCACTCAGGAGAGGAGTGGCTCCTGCCAGCAGCTGTGGTTCAACTGACCCAGGGTCACAGCCTCCATCAGGTGTGTCCTTTGCAGGTGCTGGACAGGAAGCAGGCTGCACACTCTGCACTTACGTTAAATATAGACTCCCTCTGGACACTTGGGCTCGGGCACCGCCCAGAGCTGTGGACTTCTGCCCGTGGGGGGAGCGCCCCAGGCTACTGGTCACTGTCGGTGTGTCTGTACCCCTGAACTAGGGGACAGAGGTAGCGGCTATGTAACTGAGTGGTTGGATCTGAGACCCTTGGAACCCCTCTCCCCATGGCCTCTGCCAGCCCCCTTCTTGGGCTGTGGCCGCCCCAGCCTCCTTCCTGCCTTGCAAAGCTTCATGGCTTAGCTGTCTGCTCCCTGTTGCCTCTGCCACTGGCTGAGGATGGCCACCTCCTGGGTGATGGTGCTGGCCCACACCTGCTTCTCCTTGGGGGACCCCAAGTGTCCACAAAGAGCCGGACAGCAGCCTACAGCAGACAGATGAACCCTCACACCCTAGCCACCAGCACACACGCACCTTCCACAGGAAGGTCTGCCTACTTCCTCCCCAGCGCCTCTTCAGTGCCCTCTGTCCCCCCTGGGCCAGCACCCCTGTCAGCTGCCCTGTGGGCTGTCACCTCCTGTGTGCAGTCCCACGTGTCCCTTGCTTGATGGTGTGGTGCAGGTAGAAGGGTGTGATGGGCTTTATGCCAGAGCTGGGCACCCCTGTGCTGGTCTCTGCGAGAGGAGGCAGTTGGCCGGGTAGCCAGCCCCCAGCCCCAGGCTCCCAGGCAGGTGGTACAGCCCCCGTGTCCTCCCCAGACTAGTGGAGGGAAGGCCGCTCTGGGGCTGCTGGGAGAGGCCACCTGCGAAGAAGCAGACCCTCGGGGCTCCTGGGAAGTGATGGGCAGGGGGTCAGGAGGGATGACGGCCCATGGGACCTAGGGGACGAGGGGAGGTGATGGGCAGTGATGGGCAGGGGGTCAGAGGATGGCCCCTGGGACCGGGGGGACGAGGAGCGGTGATTTAAGTCCTGTGCTCTGTGCCTTCCATGTCTGGTGACTCTGCAGAAGATCCCTTCAAGAAATCACCAGAAACTGAAGGGCAGCATAAGCCCACAGGCTGTTGGTGCTCAGACAGCTGGGCTGTGGCACCCAGTGACAGAGATGTAGCCGCGTGGGAACCCTGTGGAAGCCAAGGGCCAGAGCTGTCTCCTCGCTCTGACCCCACCACGTGAGAAATCTCTGAAGGAAGCCCGGGCGGGGGTGTGGGCTGTGATCCAATTGGGGGCTGGGGACGCCTCCTCCTAGGGCCTGGCTCCCTTCCCTGCAAGCCCCCCCACCACTTTGGGATCGTCCCTCCTGCCTGGACTGTTCCCCTGCCAAGCGAGGGTCCCGTGCGGAAGCGTGGGGCCCGGCCTTTTCTGAGGCTCCTTCCCACTCTGTGGGTTTGCTCCTTGCCCCTCAGGCCAGACACGTCCAGCACACAAAAGCTCCAGCAGCTCGGGCTGGCCGGTTGGTCAGACCGCGGCCCGGGGATGGCTGTGAGGAGCTTGTTTCTCTCTCCCACTGTGGTTTCTAGTTTGCCGGCTCCTGCCTCGTCTCCCTGGGCCCAGCTTCCTGAGTGACGGTGGACCCTGGTGCCTGACGGCTCTGGGGTCTGTGCCCTGAGGCCCCTTCACCGCAGCCCCGCCCCGGGAGTGTAGGCCCCCCTCCTGGGGCCAGGCCTTGACCCTGTTGGTGCTATGGCTCTTCCCATCCCTAGCCACTGGGGTCCACGTGGGCTACACCCTGTCCCTCTAACCCACCCCAGCTGCTTCCTGGTCTCTGTGCTTCCCATAGGGCTTTGTCCTCAACCCCCAGCCCATGCCACAAGCCTGCAGCCTGGACTGGAGGCTGGAGGCAGCTGGGAAAGGAAGCAGGGCCTTCTTAGCAGGGCTCCAGGGAAAAGCGGGGGGCTGGGGCCGTGGGTGGCACCCCATTTCCC